TACTTTAAGCAATAAAAAAAAAAAAAAAAAAAAAAAAAAAAAAAGAATAATAACTATTATCACTTTATTTAGTCTAATCAGCATTTTTTAATTTTCATTATTTTCCAGTATTTTCATGAATTTAGATATTCCCTAGAGTTTTTTGAAACTATTTACTTTCAAGATATGACCTGTTCAGAACCTGTAATTTAGAGTAAGTCACAACAAAGGATTATGTTTATCCTATATAAGTATTTAATCACTTTACGCCAATAAAATATCAACTCTCAGTATTGCCACCCAAAGCCAGAAAACACACCACATATAACAAATACATAAAGACCAATCCATTCTATAAAGACAGTGAAAGACTTCTATTCTGAAAATGAAACAAAAATGCTAAAAAAAACAGGTACAAATAAATTGAGACATTCCTTAATAGTCTGTGTTCTACAGAATAAATAGATTACCTATCAAATTTTCAAGGCAATGCTGGCTGTGGAGAGCCAAAACACTTCGAATATAGAAAAGTTGGAATATTCCCTTTTTTACACTGAAAAACATTTTACAAAGCAAGAGCAACCAAGTGGGTGTGATCCGGAATTAACACAGATCCATACACCAACGGAACAGAGGGGAATGCCCTGACATAAACCCTGATGAAGCCTCACCTGCATTAAACAGGAGCCTTCTCTGTGGGAGAGGATACAATCCACAGGGGCAAATGCAACCTCCAGAAATAATGTGGTAAAAGTGATCTCAAACTTTCACACATTTCCTCCTTAAAACTGATAATGGAATGTAACACTCCCTGGCAGTGATGTGTGCTTGTCAACATCCCTCTCCATTCCCAATGGTGAAGTTTGGAAATCAGTGACTCACACATTTAGCTTCAAATCTATAAAAGCGTAAACCCCACTTTTCTCTTTGAATGTAACACCTATTCCAAAATTAAGTAAACACATTAAAAATAAACATTGCCAACTTAGCTTAAAAAAACATACTGAACTATCCTTTCTTGATAATATTATCTATATAAAAATCCTTTATTTCAAATAGTAGAGCAGTGATGGCGAACCTGAGACAAGCGAACTCATTTTTTTGGTTGATTTTTCTTTGTTAAATGGCATTTAAATATATAAAATAAATATCAAAAATATAAGTCTTGAGAAACCAAGATGGCGGCATAGGTAAACACCAGAGTTTGCTGCCTTGCACAACCACTTCAAAAATACAACTAAAAGACGAAACGGACATCGTCCAGAACCACAGGAAGGCTGGCTGAGTGGAAATTCTACAACTAGAAGGAAAGAGAAAAGCATACCGAGACTCAGAGGAGGTGTGGTGTGGAAGTGGAATGCAGAGGTACAGAGGTGCACACGGAGCGGGCTGGCGGCTGAAGGCGCGGTTGTCTTTTTCAATTGGGAAGGAGTCTCGGGCTCTGGGCTCCAGTTTGGGCGAGTCTCTGGGGAACCAGACTCATGCGGGAGAGGCGGGACTGTCTGGCATCGGTCGGAACTCGAGGGCAGCTTTCTCTCGGAGGTGCTTGCAGCGATTGCCGGGACACTGAGAAGCAGGGCCTCTGAGGGGAGCCATAACTGCTAGCCCCGCCCTGTTGATCCCCTGCCCAAGACCTGCAGGGAGGCTTTTGCTGGATAGCCTCAGGCAAAAGCTAGATTAGCACCTCCCTAGAGATCCAGGAGCTAGTGTGCCCAGTGGTCAGAGTGGGACCATCCAGTTTGCAGCTCCTTGGATCCATAAAGGACACACTCAGGGGGCAGAATCAGTGAGCACCAAAGCCCCATTGAAGCAAGTCTTGCCCCGGAGGGGTGTCTCCGGCACAGAAGTTCTCCCACTGCAGACACAGCTGATTCTCACAGCCAATTGGCCTGGAGGTCAATCCCTCCCAGTGTTAACTACAACAATCAAGGCTTAACTACAACAAGACTGTGCACAAAGACCACAAGGGGGTGCACCAAGATTGTCCTCCTCAGGTAATTGGGGGGCTGAAACACTGGGCCCTAGAGGACACTTAGCACAGAAAACCACTTTATCAACACAGGGAAGCATAAAAATGCGGAGACAAAGAAACAGGACACAAATGACAGAAATGGAGGAGCAAACTACTGGATATAGAGTTCAAAACCACACTTTTAAGGTTTTTCAGGAACTTTCTAGAAGCCACCGATAAATTTAGTAAGACCCTCAAAAAGACTGCTGAGACCGCCGATAAATGTAGTGAGATCCTCAAGAAATCTAGTCGGACCCTCGAGGTTATGATAAAGGACCAACTGGAAATTAAGCATACACTGACTGAAATGGAGGATATTATACAGACTCCCAACAGCAGACTAGAGGATCCCAAGAATCAAGTCAACGATTTGAAGTACGAAGAAGCAAAAAACACCCAACCAGAAAAGCAAAATGAAAAAAGAATCCAAAAATACGAAGATAGTGTAAGGAGCCTCTGGGACAGCTTCAAGTGTACCAACATCCGAATTATAGGGGTGCCAGAAGAAGAGAGAGAGCAAGATATTGAAAACCTATTTGAAGAAATAATGACAGAAAACTTCCCCTACCTAGTGAAAGAAATAGACTTACAAGTCCAGGAAGCACAGAGAACCCCAAACAAAAGGAATCCAAAGAGGACCACATCAAGACACATCATCATTAAAATGCCAAGAGCAAAAGACAAGAGAGAATCTTAAAAGCAGCAAGAGAAAGAAAGTCAGTTACCTACAAGGGAGTACCCATACAACTGTCACCTGATTTCTCAACAGAAACTTTGTAGGCCAGAAGGGAGTGGCAAGAAATATTCAAAGTGATGAATGCCAAGAACCTACAACCAAGATTACTTTATCCAGCAAAGCTATCATTCAGAATTGAAGGTCAGATAAAGAGCTTCACAGATAAGAAAAAGCTAAAGGAGTTCATCACCACCAAACCAGTATTATATGAAATGCTGAAAGGTGTCTTTTAAGAAGAGGAGGAAGAAGAAAAAGGTAAAGATACAAATTATGAACAAGAAATACACATCTATGAACAAATGAATCTAAAAATCAAGTGAATAATCTGATGAACAGAATGAACTGGTGATTATAATAGAATCAGGGGCATAGGAAGAGAATGGATTGACTATTCTTGGGGGGGGGGAAGGGGTGTGGGGGATGTGGGAAGAGACTGGACAAAAATCGTGAACCTATGGATGAGGTGGGGAGTGAGGGTGGAGGGTGGGGTGGGAACTGGGTGGAGGGGAGTTAAGGGGGGAAAAAAGAGGAACAAATGTAATAATCTGAACAATAAAGATTTAATTAAAATATAAAAAATATATGTCTTTCTTTTACTATGGTTGCAAATATCAAAAAATTTTTATATGTGATAAGGCACCAGAGTTAAGTTAGGGCTTTTCAAAACGCCAAGCTCAAAACATTTACCATCACTGCTCTAGTATATACCTTAATAATAAAAGGCTATTATGTAAATTGTCGTCAAGTCTTCATGCTATAATGACCAATCAGCAGAAGGTGCTTACATCACCTCTCGAGCCCTCACCCCACCCACACCGCCCGGGGCGTAGGCAGCATCTGTGGAGAATCACAGTGTGCTGGCAGTGTCCCCGGAGCATTGCAGGGTGCCGGCAGCATCCACGGAGCGTGCGAGGTGTTGCTGGGTGGGGCACCAGCAGCATCCGCAGAGCATGTGAGGCATCATGAGGTGGGGCCTCTAGTATATTAATAAAAAAGTCAATATGTACAGGACAATTGTGCAAAACCCACAAAGAAGACTCCAAACTCAACATGGACATAAGAACCAACAAAAAAAGGGCCAAAAACCTTATCCACTCGCCTGCCTGCCTGCCTACCTGATCACCACCTAACTGCCCTCCCCTGCCAGCCATCTTTGACCTCATGGGGGCAGCCATCTTGTGTGAGGGCGTGAGGATCAATTTGCATATTACCACTTTATTATATAGGACATAGATAGGTGTTAGCAAAAAAACATGAGTGGTAGTCTACCGACCTCATGAATATAGAGCTAAATATGTGACAAATTCTGACGTCAGTCATTACATTAGTAAAATTGCAAACTACTACATGGGAATGAGGGGCTGATGTGGGACTGGAAGAGCTTTACATGCTGTGATTTTTTTTTAAAATATATTTTACTGATTTTTTTACAGAGAGGAAGGGAGAGAGACAGAGAAATAGAAACATCAATGAGAGAGAAACATCGATCAGCTGCCTCCTGCACACCCCCCACCAGGGATGTGCCCGCAACCAAGGTACATGCCCTTGACCGGAATCGAACCTGGGACCTTTCCGTCTGCAGGCCGACGCTCTACCCACTGAGCCAAACCGGTTACGGCTACATGCTGTGATTTTATCACTGCAAAATAAATGGCAGCCTAGAAGATAAAGTGAAAAAGACATAAATGAACATGAAATGTGACATGAAAGAAATAGAATTAATTTTTTTGAGATCAGTGAGCAGGGCAGCCTGGGAAAGGTGTCCTCTCTCCACATGCAACGTTCATGCCAATTCTGCATGCTGGCTACATTATTGGTACTACATCACTGGTACAACCACATCACTGGTACTGTAATATATCTGTTAGTTATGGAAAACCTATTAGACAAACAGCACAGTCCTGAGTGTACTTCCCTTCACCTCAACATCACAACCACAAATTGAAGTGCCCTCATAAAGTTTTCATCCCAAAATGATGGCACAGGAAGGGAATTAACTGTGATAATATCATTTAAAAACATCAGAACTATTTTAAAAGATTCAATCAATAGTATAATTCTCTAATAGATCAAAAAATGTGTGCCTTACAATGTATCTAATATACCATGATAAAGTGTACATAAGTGAAGTCCATATAATATACAACAGTTCACAGATCTTTTTTAAAAAATATTTTTATTGATTTCAAAGAGGAAAGGAAAGAGACAGAAACATCGATGAGAGAATCACTGATCGGCCACCTCTTGCACGCTCCCTACTGGGGATCAAGCTCACAGCCCAGGCATGTGTCTCTGACTGGAATCAAACCCGGGACCCTTCAGTCTGCAGGCCAACGCTCTATCCACTGAGCAAAACCAGCCAGGGCCAGCTCAGAGATATTTAAGGCAGAAACAATCAACTCCATGATTTCACACACACACCAGGAATAAAATATAGCAACATCAAGTGATATGGGAGAAGAATCAAATTTCTTTTGAAAATACTTCATATGATTTCAATATAAATGAGATTACACTCTAAGTAATTGTACATATGGAAACATTAATTCTTTTGATATATTCAAGTATACAAACCATCACCTAACTACATTTAAAGTTTGGAGTATACTGTAGTAAACATTCTGATGTAGAGCAATACCGAAAGGCATTTTGGCTACCTATCTAGTGTGAATTCAATGATACATTAAAATTCATAAGCAATTACATAGTTGGATAAAGTTTTTACATCTTAAAGTCATTTTAAGGTATAAACTCCTTGGATTTTTGTAAACTATATATATTTTCAAACAGTCCTTCCTCCTATGTCATAAATATTGAACTTCTACCCAATTAAAATCCCTGGTATTGACTGGGGCTGTAGGTCCAACTATATGATTTCCCACGTTCTTCACATTTAAGGTTCCCTCTAGAATGAATTCCAACGTGAGGAATAAGCTACAGATGCTGATTAAAGACTGTAGGACACTATTTAAATTTGTATTGTTTCTACCCAGTATGAATTCTGATGTCGTGTAAGGTTTGCATACTAAGTAAGCTTTGTCAAATTTTTTATATCTGCTGGGATTCGATCCAGTAATAATTACCAGATGTTGTATGAGATACAAATAAGGATATACACTTTGACATATGCCTCATAATTTTTAAGGCTCAATTTTATCAATTTCAATGACGATTCAACCATGGTTAAATCTTTGGATGAAAACTTTATATTACTGCTGCTTCCCTTCAGAATGATTCCTAAAATGTTCAGTAAATTTGACCAAAGACTAATGGCTTTCTCACATTTTTTACAGTATAAGGCTTCCCTCCACTATAAAATCTCTGATGTAAATTTTAAGCTATGGGTAAACACTCTAGCCCAATTCTCTACATCTGTAAGGTCTCTTTTTGTTCTGAGGTTGATCAAGTACAGTAATACATTGGCTTTTAAAGGCTTTTCACATTTTTCACATTCATAAGGCTTCTCTCCAGTATGAATTGTGATATTCAGTACGTTCTCACAGCCGGTCAAGGACTTACCACACTCCTCACATCTGTAAGACTTCTCTCAATTATGAACTCTCTGCTGTACAGTAACACAGGAACACTGATAAATGGTTTTGTTTCATTTTCTAAATTTATAAGGCTTCTCTCCAGAATGAACTCTCTGATGCTTTGTAAGATCTGAGGAGCTGCCAAAGGATTTGCCACATTCTCTACATTCATAAGGCTTCTCTCCAGTGTGAACTCTCTGATGACAAGAAAGGGATGAGGACTGGCTAAAGGCTTTGCCACATTCATTACATTTATACGGCTTCTCTCCAGTATGAATTCTCTGGTGGCTGGTAAGGTTTGATGGTCCAGTGAAGGCTTTGCCACATTCTCTACATGTATAAGGCTTCTCTCCAGTGTGAACCCTCTCATGATAATTAAGAGATGAGGACTTGGTAAACGCTTTGCCACATTCATTACATTTATGAGGCTTCTCTCCAGAATGAACTCTCTGATGCATAGTAAGGTCTGAAGAGAAGCCAAAGGATTTGCCACATTGTCTACATTTATAAGGCTTCTCTCCATGGTGAACTCTCTGATGATATATAAGGTGTGAGGACTGACTAAACGCTTTGCCACATTCTCTGCATTTATAAGGCTTCTCTCCAGAATGAACTCTCTGATGCTTAGTAAGGTCTGAGGAGTTGCCAAATGATTTGGCACATTCTCTACATTTATAAGGCTTTTCTCCATGGTGAACTCTCAGATGAGAAGTAAGGTGTGAGGACTGGCTAAAGGCTTTGCCACATTCTCTACATTTATAAGGCTTCTCTCCAGTATGAACTCTCTGATGATAATTAAGGGATGATGCCAAACTGAATGCCTTGCCACATTCTTTACATTTGAAAGGCTTCTCACCAGTATGAACTCTGTGATGTTGATTAAGGGATGAAGAGTGGCTGAAGGCTTTGCCACATTCTCTACATTTATAAGGCTTCTCTCTAGTATAAACTCCCTGATGTAATTTAAGGGAGGAGGAACACCTAAAGACTTTGCCAAGTTCTCTACATTTGTCAAGTTTCACTCCAGTGTGAATTCTCTGATGAATACAAAGTGTTGACAGTCGGCTAAAGGTTTTCCCACATTCTGAACATTTATAAGTCATTTCTTCCCAATGATTTCTATAATGTTGAGTATGTCTTGAGGATTGACTAAAGACTGTTCCCTTTTCCTTGACTGTATAAAATTTTGCTATAGTATGAATTCTTCCCTTATGAACAATAAGAGAAGAATGACATTTAAAGGCTTTGCCACATGATTTACATTTGTAAGGCTTCTCTCCAGTATGAATTTTTTGATTTAGCATACAACCTGAAGGCCAATTCGATCTTTTACCAGAATCTTTACATGTATAAGGTTTCTTTCCACTATGGACTTTTTTCATTTTATTTGTATTGAATATCTGACTAGAGATTCTAGTACAAGGATTCCATTTGTAAGACTCCTCCCCAGTATGAATATTATCTTGTTCATTGTAATTTGAAAACTGCTGAAAAATCTGGACACATTTACTTCCTTTGTGTGTCTTCTCCACAATTGGAATAACCTGACCTGTACTGTGATTGGAAATTTGGTCAAAGACTTTTCCACTTTTATAATTGTCCTCTGTAAGCTTGCTTCTCCAATGGTTAAGATATGACTCTTGCTCAAAGTTTTTCCAATGTTTAATCCATTGATAACTGCTCTTTCCATTATATGTACTCTGGTGATAATGGGAGATAGAAAGCCTTTAGTGACAGTTATAATTTCATTAAACATGTACACTTATTCCATAAGAACCATTCTGTGATACTCATTAAACCAAGATGGTTGTATAGTAAAAGCTTTCCTAATTTATTAAAATTATACACAAAAAATAACTACAAAACATTGTCAAAAAAAAAAAAAAAAAAAAAATCCTTGTTTAAAAGATTGCCAAATTGCCCAGCCAGCATGGCTCCATGGTGGAGCTTCAAAGATTGAACAAGAAGGTTGGTTCCATTCCTCATGAGGGCACAAGCCCAGGTTTGGGATCGGTCTCCAGTGTGAGGAATGCAGGAGGCAGCCAGTCAATGATTCTCTCTCATCACTAATGTTTGCCTCTTTCTCTTCATATCCCTGCCTCTCTAAAATCAATAAAATGTATTTTGAATAAAAAAAATAATAAAAGCACTAGCTGGATTGGCTCAGTGGACAGATCATTGGCATGTGGACTAAATGGACCTGGATTTCATTCCAGTCAAGGGCACATACTCAGGTTGCTGGTTCGAGCCTCAGTGGGGGGCATGTAGGAGACATCCAATCAATGATTCTCCCTCATCATTGAAGTTTCCATCTCTCTCCCTCTCCTTTCCCCTCTGAATTCAATAAAAATATATTTAAATGTTATAATAATACTAGTATTGCTCAATTGAGAACACTTTAATTTTATAGGTATGTTAGTAGCCCTGCGCATGAATCTGTGCATGGAGTAGCTCGCAGCAGCTTGCCTCAGCAGGCCACCCCACCCACTGCTGCTGGTAGCTCTCTGCCGCTGGTATCTCACTGCCCCACTCTCCTGTAGCTCTCTGCCACTTGTAGTTCACTGACCTGCCCTCCTGTACCTCTCCCCACCCCCAGCTCGCTGCCCCACCCTCCTGTGGCTCTCCACCACTTTTAGCTCACTGCCCTGCCCTCCCCTCCTATAGCTCTCTGCTGTTTGTAGATCAGCCATGATGTTATGGCATGCAGGCTAATTTGCATATTCCTCTATTATCACATTATAACTCTCTACATTTTAGAAATGATTGCATCGCCGGAACAGGTTTGGCTCAGTGGATAGAGCGTCGGCCTGCAGACTGAAAGGTCCTAGGTTCGATTCCGGTCAAGGGCATGTACCTGGGTTGCGGGCACATCCCCAGTTGGGGGTGTGCAGGAGGCAGCTGATCGATGTTTCTCTCTCATTGATGTTTCTAACTCTCAATCTCTCTTCCTTCCTCTCTGTAAAAAAATCAATAAAACATATTTTTTTAAAAAAAGAAGAAAAAAAAAGAAATGATTGCATGAAAGTTTAATCCCACAGTACATTTTAAACAATTCAAAGTATGTGCACTACAGACTATGCAAATTCCTAGTTTATCCAGATTTCCTTTCTAAGAATGCATAACAGTAAAAAGTTTTCAACATTCACCTGCAGAAATACGCTGATCTGCCAATGTAATCGACTTTAAAGTGAGAGGTTTCCCAAATGAATAATAATACACCTGACCTCTTTAAGTAAAAATAAGCTTATTATGATAACTATTCCAGATTAGTTCTGTTTATATTAAGATCCTCTGTTCTCATCACACTCTTCCTCTCATTACAAGGCTTACATTAAGTGTACATTATCAAAGTGATACCTTTTATATCTTACCAGTATTATTTCAGTGAATAAATCTTGTATTCCGAACTTTGGCATAAAGGCCTGGTCATCTTCAGATGACATAGCTGAAAGAAAACAAATGTTCAGTTTTCACAACCAGGTGAGTGCATTTTGAAGTGACCAGCAACTATAGGCCAGATGTTATTTTTGAGTATTCCAAGACCCAGTGAAGGATTGAAAACATGTTCAAAGCTCAAGATAGGTAAAATGAGGAAAACTCACATCAAAGAGGGAGAAAGAGTTGCTTACATTTGCCAGTAATACCTGCTCAAATGCCCTGTCACACAATGGCAATATTATAAAAACACTCCCACCTCCCAGTTTGTCCACTGGAGAGAGGGAGAGAGAGATGAGGGAAGTTCATGTTCAATGATCTTCCTGTTTGTTTGTTTTTTAATATATTTTTATTGGTTTCAGAGAGGAAGGAAGAGGGAGAAAGATAGAAACGTCAATGATGAGAGAGAAACATCGATCGGCTGCCTTCTTCACGTCCCCCACTGGGGACCGAACTCACAACCTGGGAATGTGCCCATAACTGGAATCAAACCCAGGATCCTTTAGTCCTCAGGCCGACTCTTCAGCCACTGACCAAACCAGTCAGGGCTGATCTCCCTGTTTTGAGGCATCTTGAAGAACATGTGTCTGTTGTGCATGACAGAATACGAACAGAACAGCGGTACTCGGAGAGGGCACTGTAGTGGCTGCTACAAAGAAACAATGAGAAAGTGTTCGAGCACCACAAAGACTGGGGTACTGAAGATGTACATGAAGCCTGAAAAGATACTGTGGGTCTGAGAAAGAAACAGAGAACATTTCAACTGAGAAATTAAACAGACAACCGAACCAAGAATATAGATACTGAAAACAGTGTTGACCAAAAGTAGGACTTGTTCCACAGATGGTCATTATTTGTTTCCTCCTACAGAAAACATGTTCAAAAGCCTGTTTGCTTACAATTCCGGAATCTCAATAAAAGATACTAAGTTATGCATAGAAACAGAAAAAGTGTACCATCAGGGGAACAAAATAAATATAATCAAATTGGCACCACATCAATGGAAATATATTAATTACCTCAAAAAGAATGGAAAATTGCCCAGCCGGGTGTAGCTCAGCGGCTGAGCGTCGACCCAGAAAGCAAGAGGTCGCCGGTTCGATTCCTGGTCAGGGCATATGCCCAGGGTGCGGGCTTGATCCCCAGTGGGGAGCATGCAGGAGGCAGCCAATCAATAATTCTCTCTCATCATTGATGTTTCTATCTCTCTTTCCCTCTCCCTTCCTCTCTGACATCAATAAAAATAATAATAATAATAATAATTGAAAATTAATATTTTAAAGACAAAAAGAAAAAAAAGACAATTATATAATATCACCAAAATATTATATAACCAAAATAAAAATACAATGAGAAAGTACTTTATAAACACCACACCAAAAGGGGAAATTGAAAAACATAATACCAGAATTAAAAAATACAGTAGAGCCTTAGTCAGTTTCGCTCAGTGGATAGAGCCTAGGAACTAAAGGGTCTCAGGTTTGATTCTGGCCAAGGGCACATGGCCAGTTTGCAGGGCCTATCCCCAGTAGGGGGCGTGCAGGAGGCAGCCGATCAATGATTTTCTCTCATCATTGATGTTTCTATCTGTCTCTCCCTCTCTCTTCCTCTCTGAAATCAATAAATTAAAAAAAAAAAATACAGTAGAGCCATAGCTGGTTTGATTCAGTGGATAGAGTGTTGGCCTGCGAACTGAAGGACCCCAAGCTCGATTCTGGTCAAGGGCACATGCCTGGGTTGTAGGCTAGATCCCTAGTAGGGGGCATGCAGGAGGCAATCAATCAATCATTCTCTCTCATCATTGATGTTTCTGTCTCTCTCTTCCTCTCCCTTCCTCTCTGAAATCAATAAAAATATATTTGGGAAAAAAAAGAGTCCTAAACAGTTTGGCTCAGTGGATAGAGCAGCGGTCTGCAGACTGAAGGGTCCCTGGTTCACTTCCGGTCAAGGGCATATGCCCGGGCTGTGGGCTCAATCCCCAGTAGGCGGCATGCAGGAGGCAACCAATCAGTGATTCTCTCTTATCATAGATGTTTTTATTTCTCTCTCCCTTCCTCTCTCAAATCAACAAAAAATATATTTTTAAAAAAAGAGTTATCGCTCATTGAAATAAAAAAATACAGTAGAATCATGAATGAAAGACACGACCAACTCAAAACATCGAATAATTTCCCCGGCAGTGTTGGTTCAGTGGTTGAACTTCCACCTATGAACCAGGAGATCACGGGTTGCTTCCACGTAAGGCACAGGCATGGGTTAAAGGCTCAAACCCTGAATGTACAGGAGGCAGCTTCTCTCTCTTCATTTATCTTTCTATCTCACTCTCCCCCTCCTTTCCTCTCTGAAATCAATAAAGATACATTTAAAAAATAAAAATTAAATAATCAAAGAATTTGTACATACATCATTAAAATTTAATTCATTAAAATTTTGATTCAGAGAAGCCAACATACATGTGGAAATGTGAAGAAATTTTAAGGAACTCCTAAGACACTAACAAATGAACCATCCAGGAAATCCCATGGTTTGGCGCCAGGCTGGGGCGGGGGACCTAAGGCAGTGGACCTCAAAACACATACCCCGCCCCAGGGACTTCAGGCTGCGCCCCCTGCCCAGGGGGCTTGACAGCAGACCTCAGGCCGTGCCCACTGCTCCGGCACCAGGCTGGGCACCTCAGTCCGTGTGCCCCACCAGGTGGGGCTTGACAGGGGACCTCAAAGTGTGCCCCCTGCCCTGGCCCCAGGCTGGGGGAACTCAGGCTTAGCCCCCGGCCTGTCAGGGCTTGATGGGGGCCCTGTGGCAGCAACCCCCATGTGGCAGGGCTTGCTGCAGGTGGGGCAGAGCAGGTCTGGGTCTTGCTTGATTTTAGGGCACATGAGGGTGGGCGGGGACTTGACTCTGGCTCCTGCGGCACATCCCAGACTCTGACAGGAGGAAGATTTTCATATACATTTTATTAATTTTCTTTCATCTCTGACATTTCTATTATAGAGAAAGGGCAAATTACAATATTAAAATATTTCTTTTAATTAATTCCCTTTTAATGTGCACAAATTTTGTGCATCGGGCCAGTAGTTTATAAAAAAAAAAAAAACTTCTGTCATTTCGATATATGTACATATGTGCTTTATGTTTACTATTATTATTTTTAATATATTTATTGATTTCAGAGAGGAAGGGAGAGGGAGAGAGAGAAAAACATCAATGATGAGAGAGAATCATTGATCGTTTGCCTCCAGCATGCCCCCTACTGGGGATCTAGCCCGCAATCCAGGCATGTGCCCCTGGCTGGAATCGAACCAGGCACCCTTCAGTCCACAGGCCGATGCTCTATCCACTGAGCAAACCAGCTAGGGCTGTTTTTTATAATTTACCACAAGTAATGGTCAGGAATTGTTATCTTTCTTTTAAAATTTTTTTACTATTTCACTTCATTACTGCTTTGTATGTGCTGCATGTGAGTGACGTAGGTTCTTATGTAGATGGGTTCCGACTTATGGCGAAAATCGCGTTACGTCATGCCGTAGAAACGGATCTCCGACGTAACCCAAGCATCTACTGTATAAAGTAGTGCTGGCTGTCATTAAATAAGAACTCAATAAATGAACTAAACATGCAATGACCTTAAATTGGAATGCTAACAGTATAAGCTGTCACAAGTACCCAAGGTTGACAAACATTCAAAGCAGTCACTATCCACGTCCCTATGACACTTTTCACAAAATTAGCATATCTCATCCTGAAATTGATATGAAATGACACAGGACACCAGGGAACCAAAACAAACATGGGAGAGACAATATGACCTTAAAGGCATCATGCTTCCAGATTTAAAAAAATATTTCAAGCCGAAACCGGTTTGGCTCAGTGGATAGAGCGTCGGCCTGCGGACTGAAGGGTCCCGGGTTCGATTCCAGTCAGGGGCATGTACCTGGGTTGCAGGCACATCCCCAGGAGATGTGCAGGAGGCAGCTGATCGATGTTTCTCTCTCATCGATGTTTCTAACTCTCTATCTCTCTCCCTTCCTCTCTGTAAAAAATCAATAAAATATATTTTAAAAAAAATATTTCAAAATTGGTATTATCAGAAAGATTAATCTTCACATTAAGACAGAGGTAAATAAAGGAGAATGGGAGGCTCTGGCCAGTGTGGCGCAGGGTCAGAGCATCATCCTGTGCACTTAAGGGTTGCAGATGTGATTCCCGTTAAAGGGCACATACTGAATAAGACTTCGTTCATAGGCCATGAACCAAAATGAACTCAGCATGGATCAACAACTAAAATATAAGACTTGAAATCAAGAAAACACTGGAAGAAAGCATAGTAAATGAACTTTACCATCACTCTTAAAAATACTGGTTAGGCTATATCTTCCTAGGCATAACAAAGAGCTAAAAAATTTTAAAAAAATGATACTATAAAAGAATAAGTTTGGCATACCAAAAAAACCCACAAAATAGCAACAACAACAACAACAAAACCACCAATGATACAACCTCAAAAGCTAAAGATCGAAAATATACATGGAACTCACACAACTTAACACCAAAAAGACAAACAATATGATTGAAAAATGGGCAGAGCTGTTCCCCCATCACACAGCTGTACTCTTCTTTAATAGAGGTTTTTATTTTCTTCTATTGATGTTCTGCGTTCCTTACAACAAAATGCAGTTACAGATCGCCACCCCCCCCCCCCCCAAATCAGAATCTCCACAAGATGGGTTGCCCTATGGTTTTCAGAAGCTGCCAGAGGGTTCCAGAGTCTTCTGTAATGATACCAATTATTTTTATATTATTTTTCTTGTTTTTTTTATAGTACAGTAGAGGCCCCATGCACGAAATTTGTGCAAGGGTAGGCCTTCCCAGGCCCAGCTGCTTCGCAGCCCCATCCCCAGCCCACTGGTTGTTCAGGAAGGACATTTCACTGTCTGGTCTAATCAGCATATTAGCACTTTATTATATAGGATATTTAAAGGCAGTATCTTTTGTATTGTGAATTTGCAGAAGGTGCATAATGTACTTTTTTTAAACTTCCGTTGGTATGTACGGTATATGGTCTGTGTAATTCTTATAATGAAAATAAACATTTTCTTCATTAAAAAAAAAAAAAAAAGGAAACTGGGCAGAGGACCTGAATAGACATTTCTGAAACAGGACATAAAGATGCGCAATAGACATATTAAATGATGTTCAACTCATCCATCATCAGAGAAATGCAAATGGACACCACCATGAAATACTACCGAACACCTAACAGGATGCCAATCATCCATAAATCAAAAAATGACAAGTATTACCCATGAAGTGGAGAAATGAGAACATTGATGCTCTGTCAGCAGGATTATAAACACACTGGTGTAGCCACTATCAAAACATGATGGAGGATTTTCCAATATTTACAAACAACTACCAGTTAACACAGTGATTCCATTTCTGGCAATTTATACAGAGAACATGAATTCAAAAAGATATACCCACCCATATATCCACTGCAGCACTATTGACAATAGTGAAGATATTGGACTGGAAAAAAAGGACTATTTTTATAATGATGCTCTACCATTTAAAATAAAAGACTTCATTTGACTTGACATGTAAGGACACAAAATTTATATCTCAACTCATCTCCTTCAAGACGTGACTCACTATATGTTTATACCAGAAATGACACAATAGCTGCAAAAATCACATACATGTTATGGAATAAAAAAACTACATTAATTTTATACAATTCATATTTTTGAAAAGCAAATACGTAACCAAGTTTGTATTTCAATCCATTGTATTCAAATAAAAACTCCCAATGTATCAACTGAAAGATTAAAGAAAAAACAACAAATAAGGCATCGTCAACAACAAAAAAAGGAGAAGCTACGGGCAGAGAACATATATTTCTAAAAGTCAATATGGCCCAGCTGGCATGGCAGAGCAGTTGAGCATTCACCTATGAACCAGGAAGTCATGGTTCTATTCCTGGTGAGGAAACAATCCCGGGTTGCGCGCTCAATCCCAAGGACGATGTGTGTAGGAGGCGGATGATCAATGATTCACCCTGATCACTGATGTTTCTATCTTTCTCTTCCTCTCCCTTTGTCTCTGAAATCAGTAAGTCAATTATTGTAGACAATATGTAAAGTGTGCAAACACTGACTTCCTAATTCACAAACATTAAAAGGCTTTTCTTTTCTACACCGAAGAACCCATAATTTGTTCCATGAGAGGAAGAATCTACCATAGAAAGCAGATGCCCCCTAGAAACGTTAAAATAAAAAAGGAAAAATCCCTGCAGGTGGAGTAGGAAGTCAGGAAGGAAGTCACCCTCACCCACAGAGGCCAGGTTGCTGTAGTTCTCCAACATCACATCCATGTACAATTTCCGCTTAGCTGGGTCCAGGCATTCCCACTCCTCCGGAGAAAAATGTATGGCCACATCCCAGAAGGTCAATGGTCCCTGAAAGAAAAGACACATTTACCAAGAGGCCACTAGAAGAGTTCATAACGTGCCCAAAAAGATCAAGCCCAATAAGATCACTTTGCCCCAGTAACATTCTCTGATGTGATTTCAAACACTGACAAATGAGGATGTCACATGTCCACAAACCCATGGTACAGACTTTATTTTTCAGGAAAATAAACTTTAAAATTAAGGCATGGACACAGGCATATGGATCTCTTGAGTGCTACATTCGCATCGTTCAGGGTCAGTGTGTATGGTTTTCAGCTGGAAATGGCAGGCTGGGTTGGAAATGTATGGACTTCTTCTCAAGTGTAAAACAGACCACAAGGAAATGAACTTCTGTAAAAATACAGATTCTGATCCTTGTTCTGAGATGGGGCCTGTGTTTCCACATGTATAACAAGCTCACTTTTTACTTGTGATGTTAATGTTTCTGGTGCATGTGCCACTCTTCTGAATACACAGAAGACAACAGAGGAAAAAATTCACACAGAACTTTCAAGTTATTAATGGAACTTACAGTTCTCGTGGAATAGGATACATAGGAACCACAATCCTCTTTGAAAATTTACTATGAGTAATCTTAGAACAAGATGATTCTGTCCAGGCCAGCTGGTGTTGCTCAGTGGTGAGCGCGGGCCCATGCACCAATAGGTCACTGGTTTGATATCTAGTCTGGACACACAACCAATTTGCGGGTGCAATCCCACGTGGGGTGTGAAGGAGGCATCCTATCAATGATTTCTCCCTCATCACTGATGTTGCTAGCTCTCTCTACCTCGCCTTTCCTCTTTGAAATCAATAAAAACATAGTTGAAAAAATAAAAGAAAAAAATAGCTGAAATAATGTTAACAGTTTCAGCTCAGAGTCACACATTTTACAACTATGAAATCAAGATGGTTTAGTGGCCCTAGCTGGTTTGGCTTAATGGATGGAGCGTTGGCCTGCGGACTGAAGGGTCCCGGGTTCAATTCCCGTCAGGGCACATGCCCAGGTTGTGGGCTTGTTCCCCTGTGGGGGGCATACAGGAGGCAGCCGATCAATGGTTTTCTCTCATCAGTGATGTTTCTATCCCTCTCTCTCTCTCCCTTCCTCTCTGAAATTAATAAAAATATATTTTAAGAAAAGATGGTTAGTGATTCTGTAAATCTCATGAATCTATTTGTGTATGATCCCCTTTGTGTTTTATAAACACAATAAGGAGAGAAACATAACGATACAAAACAAGTTAGACCTATTGTTTCACTTTTGTAGTTGTAAATCCTCACCTGGGGAGATTTTTCCCATTGACTTTTTGAAAGTGGAAGGCAGGGAAGTAGAGGCATGAAAAGGAAAGAGGGGGAGAAGGAGAGGGAGGGAGAGAGGGGAAGAGAAAGAGAAAGAGAGAAAGAGAGGTCAATGTGAAAGAGACAGATGGATTGGTTGCCTACCAAAGGTACCCAAGAACTACTTGCCCTGGACCAGGAATCAAACCCTCCACCACTGATCCACACCACACTGGGGGAACTAATTTTTTTTACTAGTACATTTTTCAAAATTTTAGGTATCACTAGTGGAGAGCTATATTGTAGAAATGTAATGAATTTAACATATGCTAATAATACCATTCTTGTATACTTTCTAGAAAATACAAGTTGATAATGTAGGATATGTCTGTGACGTTTGTGTAGAATATAATGAAATTTTAAATAATCAAGGCCTGATTGGTTAAAGCTCCCATGATAAAGCCAATGGACTGTCCTATACAATAAAAGGCTAATATATAAATAGACCAAACTGCGGAACAACCAAACAACTGCTCACTATGATGGGGGCTGACCACCAGGGGGCGTGCGCAGAACATGGTGGGTGTTGGCCACGTTGGGATGGTGGAGCAGGTGAACGGGTGAGCCAGACCAAGGCAGGGCGCTGGTCACTGTCATCGGGTTAATTCTCTGGTGGTTATTGAAAATTCTTTGCTCCTGCATACCGTGGTCCCACCCAGCCCCTATCGCCCCTGAGGGCTTCTCCGCCTACCCCTGAAGGGCGATTGGGGCAGCAGCCGCCCTCACACCCACTGATGGCAACGGCCCTTGCTCCCACCGCTGTTGATGTTGGCCCCAGTTGCTCTGCACTGGGGTGTGGGTGGGGGGCAGCATCAGTGCATGGGAGTGGCAGCAGCAGGAATGGGGCTCCTGGGAGACAGGGGACTGGGGGCAGTGGTGGGAGGGGCCAAGTGGGGGCACGGTGGATGGGCCAAGACTCACCTCTGTGCCCACCGCAGCCTCACAGCCCATAGTTCCTTTCAAGGTGCAAGAATTCCTGCACTGGGCCCTAGTCTATACTAATAAAAGGGTAATATGCTAATTAGACAGGATCGACCAGACATCTTCCAGACATCGAAATTCCTTCCGGACAAAGCCATGGTGGCAGGAGTCGAGGCAAAGGTGGTTAGGGGCAATCAGGCTGGCAGGGGAGCAAGGACTTAGGGGCCATCAGGATGGCGGGGAAGCAAGCAGTTAGGGGCGAGATCAGGCTGGCGTGGGGAGCAAGCAGTTAGGGGGGGATCAGACCGGCGAGGAAGAACAAGCAGTTAGGGGGCGGTCAGGCCAGCAGGGGAGGGCAATAAGGGGGCGATCAGGCCAGCAGGGGAGGGCAATTGGGGGGCGATCAGGCCGGCAGGCAGAGGCAGTTAGGGGCAATCAGGCAGGCAGGCAGGTGAGTGGTAGGAGCTAGGGGTCCTGGATTGTGAGAGGGATTTCCGACTGCTGGTTAGGTAGACAACCCCCGATGGGTCCCCGATTGGAGAGGGTGCAGGACGGGCGGAGGGACACCACCTCCTGGTGTACGATTTTCATGCACCAGGCCTCTAGTCCTATATACTAAAAGTCTAATATGCAAATTTCCCCCTCAGGAGTTCAACTGAATAGGAGTTTGACCGACTGAGAGTTCAACTGCTCCCCATGTGGGCTGAACACCATGGGGCGGCATGGGAGGAAAGAAGGCCCCAGCTGGCAGCCGGCAGCCAAGGTAAGCAAGGCCCCGATTAGCCCTGACCCCCTGCCAGGCCAAGGGACACTATGCGTGCATGACTTTCGTGCACCGGGCTGTTGGGGGCCAGATGTAAGCTGGCAAGGTCCTTGCACCTGAAGGGGCTAGCAAGGCTGGAACCCTTACCCACACAGTTTTCCCAGACTTGTTTGGATGGCGATTATCAGTGGAATGAGAGCAACATTTGTAGAATGAGAACAGCCTTTCATAGCTTACCAAGAAGTCTGTAACTATTTACTGAGATATGCTGTACGGAGAACTTGTCCTTCTGCTGTGTCTCTCCCTTAGAGATTAAGAGGAACAAAGAATACATTTCTCTTGACAGACCTCCTATTCAGTGTGTTGTGTATCAATAAGATTGTGTGGCTAATAAACTCGCTTCAGTTCATCGAAAGAACTGGAGTCCTCCCTATTCCGCTTTCCTGTCTTTCTTTCTTTTCTCAATTCCCACCTCCCTGCCTCAGCCCGGCTCAACCTTGTCAGGCTGGCCCTGACACCAGGCCTCTAGTAGGAAATAAAAGTAACTCCTTCATTTCCCAAAGCAAACACAAACTAAGAAGAGGGACATTTTCATATGTGAAGTGATGGTCTTTGCACAACTTTCATTAAATCCCTTCTACACCCTTGTTACTGAGAAAGGGAGACTATTAACAGTATAGTGAGGGAAGCACTTGTGCCACCTGAACATCAGGTGGACTAAGACAATGGGCATCAGGTGACTGAGGCACACACTCGGAAGGTCAGGTCACCACTGCTGACATTACTGCCAAAAATACATCAATAAAGAAATAATTATGGGGGACTATTCATCCCTCCCAATGTGGGAGTCTGTGCTTGTTTCTCAATAAATTTCCACCTTTTGACCCTGGTTTCATTCTTTGACTCCACCGGACAAGAGCCAGGGAACCATCCTGCCCAGGGGAACGCCACACATTTCCAATCCAAATTTCCCGTTTCATTAGGAAACAAGTTACAGAGATAAAGGAAGGGCCCTTGAAGCTTTGGAGGTGTGGAAGCTAATGAAGGCACATTCTACACCCTGGCTGGAGCTGACCTGGAGATGCAGCCCTTCCTCCCCATTCAGAGCTGCCTATTATCATGGAAAGATTCACAAAGATTTGTTACTGAAACCAGAATTTCCAGCCCTTTGAAGATCCTCAGCCCTTTTTGCAGACCTCCAGCCTGCTTACCTGTTAACTGCACATCTGGCACTCCTTTTGGCTACTTCCCTATGTAATCCCAACCCTTGCATATCACTAAGCCCTTTGAAGACCCCTAGTTCCTTTGCATAATTGTAAACTGCCCTTTTGCCTACTTTTCCTTTGTACTTTTACTATAAGCAACTGGCTTACAGTGGGATGCGGAGCAGAGTTCTGTGGCTGATCTGCTGCTCTCCCATACTGACAGCATTACTGGAATAAACACTCATATACGATTCAAAAACAGAGAAGAAAAAATTATGGTAAAATGATCACAAATAAAGATTAATTTTTGCAAGTGTCAATCCACATGTAACTCTCATGTTTTATAAGCTAATAGTACATTTAAATACCAAGTCTTTCGTACTAATCTAGTGAGCAAGTCTCTTCCATTTACTCTTCCTTTCAGAACGCTCTGAGCTTTTCTGAGCAGTAAAATGTGCATCTTCTTACCCATGATCTAGAACTGACACTGCAGCCACTGGAATCTAAAACCTGCACTTGCCTTCTTCACTGATACCCCAGCCTGTGACCCCATCCAAATAGGGATGTTAGACATGGCTGCCTTCCCAGGTGGATCTGTCACAAAACAGATATTCTGAGTAGTTGAAAGTCATTAATTAAAGGTGGGAATGATTCCTGACCTGGGGAGGCTGCATAAAATGAATGCAGAGAAGGCTCTGAGGCAAAGGAGGGAATTATAGCCCGGCCAGTGTGGCTGAAAGGTAGAGGGCTGACCTCGGAACCAGGAGGGCAGGGATCCATTCCTGGTCAGGGCACACTCCAGATTTCAGACTCAATCCCCAGTGGGGGGGGGGGGGTGCAGGAGGCAGCTAATCAATGATTCTCTCTCCTTATTGATGTCTCCATCTTTCTCTCCCTCTCCTTTCCATTCTGAAACCAATAAAAATATATTTTGAAGAGAAGGAAAAAAAGAAAATACAAAAGAAAAGAGAAATATAGAAACTGCTGACATTGACTATGATGAAAAAAGTAATGAAATAAGGAATGAAAAACAACCTGCAAAGGCAAGAACATCAGTAGCAGAGAAATAAATCACCAGATGTTAGAGAAAAAGCAAACATAGCCTGTGACACAGGACACATCTTTTACCTGAGAAGCAGCCATTTGGTCCTGGTCCTGATCAGGGTCTGGATTGTTTTCTCAGGTGACAATATGTTGAGGAGTCACAGAATGTGTCTTCAAAGAAATCAGCACAGCCTGTTAATCAGCTCACCTCACACTCACAGTCAGAAGGACCTGGAAATGAGAAAAAGGACACCCCTCCTGTTCTTGGTCACAGGAGAGAGTCAGGAACAATGAGCTCCTACATGGAGACCACACTGTGAGTTTTTGAGTGTGTATTCATGTGTCTCTTATCCCAAAGACTTCCATGAAATCCTATGAAAATGAGGTGAGCTACTGTCCTGACGCCCCAAACCAAAGAGAGCACCCCCTTACTCCCCTGAACAAAGCCTGATCCCCGCGCCCACAAAGGCATCCTGCAACCCTCTTGCTATCTCTGTCCTCACCTTCCAATAACCTGGAGACTCTCAGTAACCAATGATGCCCCACCCAGAGCAGCTGTTCAACTCTATGGAAGAAAGCACACCTGAGGGTATTTCTTAAAGCTCCTCAGAGAATCTGAGAAGACCCAGAGGATTTATCTCAAGATGTTTAAAAAAATTAAGTAACAGACATAGAGAAAATAAATCCATGGAATAAATGCACACCTGTGCATGCCGTGTGTGCGCGCACACACACACACACACACACACACAAAAAAAAAACACCACAGTAACAATGGTAAGGCTTCTAATATTCCTTTAAAAAGCATCAGGTAGTGATAGAAGTCGGTCACCTCCTCGTTTCTAACCCAGGAAATGACAAGGGACCCATGACCAACAGACAAGTTTCTACCCTCTGAGTGAATAAGGTTTGAAATTGGAAGCAAATTATTATAAAATTCCCAAGCCTTATAAACTGGATATTTATAAGTCTCGTTCAAATCAGTATAACAAAAACAACCCAGCTATTAAATTCAATAAATAAAAACTTAGAAAAAGAAAAGAAACACCTAGAGACAACCAAGATGGCGGCATAGGTAAACCCCTGAACTTGCTGCCACGCACAACCACATTACAACTACAAGACAAACCGAGTATCATCCAGAACCACGGGAAGGCTGGCTGAGTGGAAATTCTACAACTAGAAGGAAAGATAAAAGCGCACTGAGTCCAGTAGGAGGTGCAGAGGTGTGGAAGTGTGGAGGTACAGAGGCATGCGCAAAAGGGGCTGGCAGCTAGGTATGCTGTTGTCTTTTTCAATCAGGAGGGAGATACAAGCTCCCAGCTGCTCTGAACTCCAGGTCCGTGAGAGAATCTGGGGTCCCAGACTCATATGGAGAGAAACTGGACTGTCTGGTATCGGGCCAGAACGTGAGGGCGGCTTTCTCTCAGAGGTGCTTGCAGGGATCATTGTTCCTGCACAGAGCCATGGAACACAGAGACCCAGGGACCACTCCAGGGCAGAGCTGACTGGCAGCCATTGTCTCTGCCCCGTGATTCTCTGAGACCACACCCCACCCAATTTGCAACCCCACCCAAGCTGTGTGCAGAGGCTTTTGCATAGGAATGGCCTGGCCTTTCTCTGCCTAAAAACCTGTCAAACTGCAGCTGGGTCAGGGAACCCCAGACCTTCCAAAAGAAAGCCTAAAGCTCGTCAGCAGACTGCATGGCTTCACAGCTGAGCCTCATCTGGGCACCTCCAAACCCCAAACAAAGAAGAGGAATCTGCAGATCTCTCTATAGCTCCTGCTTGGTGGCCTAAGGCAGTGGCTGACTTTGCAACTTCAAGTGTACCAACATCTGAATTATAGGGGTGCCATTAGAGAGAGAGGAAGATATTGAAAACCTATTTGAAGAAATAATGACAGAAAACTTCCCTTACCTGGTGAAAGGAATAGACTTATAAGTCCAGGAAGTGCAGACAACCCCGAACAAAAGGAATCCAAAGAGGACCACACCAAGACACATCATAATTAAAGTGCCAAGGGCAGCCCTAACCAGTTTGGATCAGTGGATAGAGCGTCGGCCTGTAGACTCAAGGGTCCCGGGTTCGATTCCGGTCAAGGGCATGTACCTTGGTTGTGGGCACATCCCCAGTAAGGCAGCTGATCGATGCTTCTCTCTCATTGATGTTTCTAACTCTCCCTCTCCCTTCCTCTCTGTAAATGCCAAGGGCAAAAGACAAAGAGAGAATCTTAAAAGCAGTAAGAGAAAAAAAAGTTAGTTACCTACAAGCTGATTTCTCAACAGGAAACTCTGCAGGCCACAAGGGAGTGGCAAGAAATATTCAAAGTGATGAATAGCAAAAACATACAACCAAGATTAATCTACCCAGCAAAGCTATCATTCAGAATTAAAGGTCAGATAAAGAGCTTCACAGATAAGGAAAAGCTAAAGAAGTTCATCACCAGCCAAACCAGTATAATATGAAATGCTGAAGGGTATTCTTTAAGAAGAGGAAGAACAAAATGGTAAAGATAAAAATTATGAACAAGAAAGTGACAACAAATACATATCTATCAACAAGTGATCTAAAAATCAAGTGAATAAAAAATCTGACGAACAGAATAAACAAGTGAATAGAATAGAATCAGAGGTATAGAAAGGGAGCGGACTGACAATTCTCGGGAGGAAGGGAGCATGCGGGGACGGGAAAAAACCTAGGCAGGAAGACTCAGTGGTTGAGCTTGTCCCTGTGAACCAGAAGGTCATGGTTAGATTCCTAGTCAGGGTGTATGGCCAGGTTGAAGGTTTGGTCCCCAGTGAAGGGCGAATAGGAGGCAGCTGATCAATGATTGTCTCTAGTCATTGATGTTTCTATCTCTCTCCCTCTCCCTGCCTACCAGAAATCAATAGAAATACACACACACACACACACACACACACACACACACATAAAGCCACAGATATATCACAACTTAAGCATCCACACCCCATCACCTCACCTCTCACCCAGATCAGGGTTCCCCTCCTCCCACTACTATGTATTTCTGTCTGTGGATCTGTCTCTGTCTCCTGCTCCCTTTCTCTCCACTGTGGTCCTTTCCTGTGTCCCCCTCTCCCCTGATCTTTCTCCCCTTTTCTCTCTGTCTGTCCTACACCTGGACCATGAAACTCCTGAAACCTACTTCCCTTCAGGGGCTCTTTCTCCCGGTCTCTGAGGCTCCATCTCCACACACGTCTGCGTCCTCCCCTCCCCACGCCCGTGGCCCCTCTGCTGCCTGTTCCCGTCTGTCCGCTCCCACAGCTGCTGACTCAGGGCTGCTCCCTCTGCTCCCTCATCCCTGAGCCCCCCTTTCTGTCCCTGCACTCGCTCCCCAACTCTTCTCCTCTGAACCAGAGTCTCTGTCTCAAATGCCTCCTCCTGTGAGGCCCCCACGTCTGCTCCCCAGGACCCGCTCCCTCTCAGCCCCCCTTCCTCTCTCTGGGCTCCCCCTCCTCCCTGTGTCTCCACTTCCTTCCTCCTCAGGCCACTTTCCCAAGTGACCCCCTCACTCCTACCGTCGCCGTCCAGTCCCCCCCACACCCCCTATGGGCCCCTCTCTGTGGACCCTTCGCTGCCCTTCCTCCCGCCCACGTGTCTGTCTCTCACTCCCTCTCCTGACCCCCCAACCTGGGTCCCCGCCCCCCGCAGTCACCGCGCCCACAAAGCCCCTCCCTGCGGGCAGGTTACCTCTTTAAGGGACACCGCATCCTCCACCCTGAGCCCCCCCCCCATGGACACTGTGCTCCCGGGGCAGGCAGACCCCTTATTAAATGGGGGTGGGCCTAGGAGGGGGGTGCAGACCCCCAGGCCGGGAGCCATCCGGGCTCTTTGGGCGGAAAGCGCCGGGCGGGGGGAGGGGCGCAAAGGGCGGGAACCCCCTGACCCAGACTCTCAGCCCCGCGGGGAGCACCGGCGGCCCCGGGAACGGTTTTCGGCAGGAAAACCGCGCGGCAGGCGGTGGCCACAGCCACAGGCGGAGAGACCCCGGGCCGGGCCTCCGTTTCCTCCCAAAGGCACGTGGCGCCCGCACCGCGCAGCCTCCCGGGACGCGGACTCACCGCTGAGAGAGGCTCCGGGGCGGGGACCCCCAACAAGGACCTCCTGCCGGGAGGGGGACGGGGAGCGTCAGCTTTAAAGTACAAACACCCTCCTCAGGGGCAACCGCGACCTTCCCCTCCACAGCGGCTTCCGCGTCTGCAAGGAACTGCGCATGCGCCTCCCTGCGGGGTGGGCGGGGCCAGAGCCTGAGCTGAGCGGCTCCGCGATGGGGGCGGGGCCGAGCCCGGCGGCCAGGCCTGTGCAGGGACAGAGGGAGGGAGGGCGGGGCAGGAGCGAGGGGGCAGCCCCGGGTCCCCGCACCTCCTCCCACAGGGACAGCCCTTCCTGGGGGAGTTTCCCACGTCATTGTCAGGGTTTTGGCTGGGGACGGGGCTGCGAAAGGATTCACAAGGGAGAGAAGAGACAGGAGCAGAGAGAGGGCGTTTATTTTACTTCTTTAAAGGGAGGAAAGGGCCAGGGGCCCTCTGATGGCAGAAGGCACCCCAGATAGAGGGGCTGTTCCTTTATTAGGGTGCTAGCGAGTAAATGGCAGCTGTGGCAAAAGCATGAAGAGGTAGGGGGAATCTGGAATTCACACAGAAGTTTCCCAGCTCCCAGAGGCTGTGCTTAGAGCTACTGGCTGGTCTGCCCTTCAGCTGCAGGTGTCCCAGGGAGGGGTCTTTCCCAGGATCTTCACAAGCCGGGAAGACATTCTTGCAGTGAAGTTACAGAGAATTCAAAAGGCGGGCAGATTGGGTTTGAAACCAGAAACTTTCTGCCTGCGATTTGCCTGGATCCTTAAACCCTCAGTGAGGAGGGGGGAGGGGAAGGGCAGCCTGCTCTCTCAGCCCCTCCCCGTCTCCCCATCTGAAGGGAGAGGCAGCTTGAGTTAGGGAAGCAGGTGGATGGGGGTGTCAGAGACAGACCTAGATATCCATTCATGGTTAGGCACCTGATGAAATAAGATTTCACCCAATAGTTTGGGAAAAACATTCTAATTTTTTTTTCAAGGGATAAACTTTTTTAGTTGGAAGTTGTGGTCTTTGAAATCTTTTTGTTCTAGGAATGCATTTTAAATGAATATTTTTACTTTAGTAGTCCCTATAATCTAGTTAATGGGACATTGATATTAATGTAGAATGTCTGCTGTTAC